TTCTGCACATTCTTGTCACCTTCATTACCATTCTGCACATTCTTGTCACCTTCATTACCACTCTGCCACCACTTCATTACCACCACTTTCTTTTTACCACCATGCTTGCTCTGCACTTTCTTTGGAGCCATGCTGGATGTACTGTATGTGCTAAAAAGCACACCAAAAAGCTTCACAGTAAGTGTCTGTCTGCGACCACGATCTTGCCTAGAGGAAGCCATGACCACGTGTCAGAGCAGGGAAGATGGCTGCGGGTCATGTTCGTCACCTGATGCGGAGTTCACGAACGGAAGCAAAAATTTGCGAATGCTGCTGTTCGTGAACCAAATTGGTCGTGAACAGAAGCGTTCGTGAACTGAGGTAATAGTCATTCCCTTCCAGGCACTTATTTCCATAGACAGATTCTCTCCCTTCCATGTAAAGTGCCTAAGGAAACAACTAGAGTGTGTAGCAGGCTAAACCTCTGCTCCTTTCCTTTCTCCTCCCCTGCACATCCAGCCTTCCCATGTTCATCTTGCACCTCCATGGCCTTTTACATCTTTCCTAACATTTCTGAGGTTTGCTTCTGCTTCTTTAGTCATTGGCACAATACCTGGCTTGTCTGAGGTCCCTAATTCAAATGTACCTCATTGGCCCAAAGCTGTCTAACACCAGTTGCCTTCTGTCTTCCTTCTCATCTAATTGAACTTCCCTCCACCAGAAGTTTTTATCCCACCTGTTTCCAACTTCTAGTTATGGACCAAGATTTCTGGCACACAGGTTTTTAACTTCCTTATATCTCATGGCACTAATTATTTCCTTTAATTGTTTCCCAGTCAGGCGGCCGGTGGAGGCTTCTCAGCATTCCAGTTGTGGTGCAGCAGATGGAACAGCACCACTGATCAGATGTTGACTGATAAGCTGGTTATCTGCACGCTGATTCCACTGGAGGAACACCAAGCTGGAAGAGAGATCTTGCCAACAGTGGATCTGGCTGTGTCTTCTGTGCTGGCCGTGATGCCAGCACTTGCCTCATGGTGGGGTCTGCTCAAGCCACCCAGCTTTCTATGAGCTTCAGTGGCAACAGCAGCCATGGAAAGCCCATCCTCAGTGTGACACAGATTTTTTGGCTTCCAGCTTGAGGCAGAAATAGGAGCAGGGGCAGGTCTGTGGCTCTGGGAGGGAGCTGACCTGTGTCCTGCAGCTGCTGTGTGCCCTACCACGTGGAACAATGGGCGTTTTGCCCCTTCTTTGTCATCTTTCTTCTCATTCTGTTTTCTGAATCTGAAATTATGCTAGACAGGTCTCCTATGACTGCTATATTGATGGGTTGTAGCAACCCCTGTTTTATGTTGTTTATGTGTCCAAGGATTGATGAAAAGCTATGCTTGGATTGGTTAAACTGGAGTTCTTGATGTTAGGTGGTTTGGATGGAAGGTGTTGGAAGGGGTCAGAGCCATTCATTCCTTCTTGGATGAGAGACAGGAGGACAAGAGGGTCTCTAAGTGGTTTGGAAGAGGGTGTGAGAGAGCAGAGCTTCAGTGTCCTCAGGTTACATCTGTTGGTTCTGCATGCAGGTGGCCATGCTTGGTGTCCAGCAGTCCCTCTTCTTTATGTCAAATTTCACACAGCCAATCATATCCCACTTCATTTCTCCCTGCTCATACAGTAGTTGTCATTTTGATTTGTTTCTAAAGGATCTAATATTTAGCATTCTTACATTTAATGTCAAAAGGCAGTTCGATTGAATTAATCCAGTGATTCTTAGCCCCCTGGCTTCAAACCAATCTTCCCACTGCCGTAGGAAGTTATTATTCAGATACTTTCTAGAACTAAGTGGATCTATTTTAAAACCCATTGTTTAAGTTATTTAATAAAAGTCAAATTTGTTCCCTTGTTCCTATGTTAACCAAGGGTTTATTCTCTCCTACTATCTTCCCCACGTTTCACCCTTTGTAGATGTAAAGGATTTGGTGGCACAGAGCACAAAGATAAGGAAGGAAAAGACGCCCCACAAAAAGGAAGGGAGGAGACAATTAGCAACTTCCCTGACATGTCTGCCCTCTCCTTGGACTTTAATTTCTTCCTCCACTTTCCAGTTTGGGCTATATGGAGACTTGTTTTTGTTTAAAGATTTATTGAGGTTCTGCTCAGATATCAAGGGACTTGACCTCTCTTGGCTCTGCTCTGTGATAATCCAAGACTAAGGGTTATTCTGCATGAACATTCTTGATAGCAGAAAGACAGTGATCTGTGCAGAAATTGTCAATAGAAGCTTCGTGGGTACATGACAGTGTCAGCAGTAAACAAGGAACCCTCTCAGACTTCACAATTAGAAAGCTGGACTTTTCTGCACTGCACCCTAAAGTTGCTTGACATCCATGAATAACTTATGTGGAAGCTGTCTTCAGAAATCCTTTTTTTAATGGTACTTTCATTAGACATTGCATTACATTACATTACATTACATTACATTAAAAAGATAAAAACTAATACAAGCTAGGAAAAATAAAAGAATAAAAAGAAAAATAACAAGTGTAAAAAGGAAGAAAAAAGAAAAAGAAAATTAAAATTAAAAAATAATGCAAACTCAATATCCTTTGAAAAGGCACTGAACCGCAATTTGGGCTAGGCTTCCCTTTCTACTTTGCTGGCATTCTTCTCCAAATCTCTCCCAGTAGCCAAGTTCTCTGCCCTGGCATTATTCATAAACATTGGGCAAAGGTTGGATTTATACTAGATGCTTTGTTGAACAGATTGCTAGTGTAAGCCACTGTTCTCTCCATGCCTCCCTCCTAGGTCAGAGGTTCCTCTGGGCTGTCCCTTCATGCCTCTGGTCTAGCTCACTGCCATAGGTCTTGATCTGTCCAGGAACCACACTGTTCCTGCTAGTGTCCTACTACTGACAGTGGCTTCAGTTCCCTTCCTCAACATTTGATCTTTAGCCCCACCACCAGAAGGTAGGTGACTATGGGTTTCTCATTTCATGTGCTAACACAAGTTTTCAGAAACACAGTTGCAGTTAATAAGCCTCTACATTTTCTACAACATTTTCTGAGTTCCTCCTTGCCACCTTTCTGCTTCTGTACTAAATCTACCTAAAATATGAAAAGCAGCACAACCAGAAAAAAAGCCAAAAAAGAGTGTAGGTGATAGGGAGTGGTGTCCACAGCAAAGCCAAGGACGGGAAAATAACAGCATATGTTCAATGTCATCACACCAATGTCACAGTTATGCACTTGCATCCTAACATTTTATGAGGCAAATAACACCCACATTTTTTTTTTTCCCCCCCCCCCCGCAGATATTTAAATTGTGGCAAAAAAAAAAATG